TAGGCTGCTTTGAAAACCAGAATCTGGAGAAATCCCAGAGGAATCTCTCATGTGCGCAGCAGAGCTCGCTACCTTGGGCAAGAGGCACGTCCCGCCGCTAAGCTCAGGATATGAGAGCTGCATGGGAGTACACGATAAAAGCTGCTTTTCAGCCTCCGAGATAAAACCATGCCCTTCCCTTTTCCCTTTCTTACCCGAAACACCCCGGCTCATTTGCTGACTATACAGCAATGGGGCTCCAGATCTTTCATATCCCTGATGAAACTTCATCAATATCTGAAAATTAGCATCTGCATCTACCGTTACCCACCCATGTTGTGGCCGACAAGGTGCTTCTGCCCGTGCAATCCCCAGCAGAACCACTGCTAAGAGCTGGGAGAGCACCCGGATCCTGGGTGGCTCCCTGAGGCTCCACGCTAGAGCCCATATGACCCTCCAGGATCACGGGTGTCTTTCTGCTTTAAAAAGCATCGGACCAGGGCAGGCAGGGGTACCAGAAACAAGGTTGCTTTCCTTCTTTCCACAGGTTTTCCCTTTAGGACTGTGGCAATGGCAAGTGGATTGTGTCTAAAAGTTTTACTCTGGCTATGGCGTGCTTGTTAGACAGCTTAAATAAAAAGGGAATAGCACACAACCCTGGGAAATCTTCATGTTTCATGCTAACTCTGTTGCAAACACCTTGAATATCCTTTTAGAAAACATATATACAACTGTAAGTTTCCAGCCTTTGAAGGTTTTTGAGCTGAAGGGCAGGTTTAAATCCTGGCTTAAAGCAAAGATCTGCTCTGCTGTCAGTTACTGGGAAGGAAGCATCCATGGCCTGTCCTATAGCAAGGATGCAAGCCTGGAGAGGATGAGTTTCTCTTTGTAGTCCCTCCAGGTTATGGCTTCACGCTTCCCCAAAATTTAAAATTGCAGTTGAAAATTGCCTGAAAAGCAAGCCAACAAAACTCATTGCTCTACACAACCCAGCCTGAAGGCTGCCTTCATTGTTTCCATTTAAAAATGACAAATGTTACCTATTTAAAGACAGAACAAAAGACACTTCCAGTGTGGTTTGGTTTGTCTTCACAGCCCAAAAAGATGAGTTTCAAGGTCAGCAAAGTGTGATTTGAGCAGAGCAATATAAGGCAGAGCAAGGAGAAGGCACAGCCTGTTTGGTGTTACATAGAACCTGGGGTTCAAACCACAGGCTTAGCTCTGGGCTTTGCTCAAAGGCAAGGGGTGGGATGGCACCTGATGGGCAGCCGGGTAACTGGCCGCAGCCGCGCGGAGCGACAGCGCAGCAGCTCCTGCAGCAACTCGCTTTGCTCAACGTGCAGGTCACGACTCAACGTACCCGCTTCAGCCTGCTAAATGCATGCAAAAAAACAAAGTGCAAAAATATTCTCCTCTGCTGCGTCCTTCAGTAAAGGCTGGGCTTGCTCTTTCCAGCTCACATTAAAATAATATAAATATAAATATAAATATAAATATAAATATAAATATAAATATAAATATAAATATAAATATAAATATAAATATAAATATAAATGGGGGGGCAATTCTGTTTAGTGTTGCAAGTACAAAAACTGAAGGACTCCGAATTCACAGGTTAGAACATGGTTTTAATGTTGTGCATAGCAGTGAGAACAGTGCAGAAGCTGAGGGCTTTGGGCCAATTTGCAAGTGAGTCCACAGGGATGTTAGACACTGCATTTGGACTGGGTTACAGGAATTGCAGCAATACAGATGCAGATCTTCTCACCAGTGCGTTAGGTAATGCTTTCTTTTGTACATCAGCCCTGTTTTTTGCCAGCTGATTATACAGAAGGCTGAATCAGGGATTCACACTTAAGCAAAGTTTCACCCAATGAGACATAACATAAACGGGATAAAAGCAAAATCAAGTGAAGCACACAGAAATATGGGGGTTAAATGCAGCCATTCCTAGTTATAGTTTTCCAGTAGCCTCCAATATATAGCCTCTTTCCTGAAATTATAAGTGGGTGCTATGTTCTTTAGTGTGTGTGTGTGTATATATATATATATAAAATATACACTAGTATAGATATATATATATAGAGAGAGATAGTATATATACACACTCTCTCTAGACACTTCCTTCAGAGTTTCTATTTAAATAGTGAGGCTGGAATAAATCTAAAAAAATAAACACAGTTGATGTAAGTACTGGAGAGACTGCATGATTTGGCACAGTTTTAGTGGTACTAAACCATATATGAAGTCGATTCTACAGCAGCAGGATGTTGGGTCAAGCAACACTTGGCACTTAGAGAAATTTCAGCATTGACAACATCAATGAAAAAGAAGTAGGAAAATAAAACAGAAGCATCATATGAACATATCCAGCTCTTATTCTCTGCAGAAGTCCCTTTTAATAGAAATAAGCTCATATCCATGTTACAAGCAGTCCTGCAGACTAAGGTTCACTCTGCATGAGCCTCTTGGGAACAGTATGAGCAAAGTGGGGAGCCAGGGCAGGGTGTACAGAAGGGGCTTGTGGCAGGAGGAAGGTAGATTTTAGCAGTGTCAATATTGAAATTCACATTAAAATATTAACACTTGGCATCTGCTCTCATTTCTCTATTGGGACTTTATGACCTGCAGAACTTTCACGTGGCCGTAAGTTCAGAGAAAAACGCAATGCCAAGCATGAGATTGCAGGACAGGGTTAATGTGTTTGAGAGCTGCTGCTTCTTTTTACTCTGAGAGACAATACTCTAATTTATTATAGCGATCCTTTCCCACCAGTTAGTTTCAGACTCCTAAATAAATCAGGCATTACTTTTAGATGAAGTCTTTTGCTGTTTAAGCAGTTTTCCTGTTACATGTCACATGAAGGATCAGACAGAGATCCTTGGAAAGAGAGCAGCACCCACTGCAGAGATCTGTTCCCCACAAGAAGTCCTACAGGCAACTTTCTTAGCCTGCTGTGATTGTAAATAATGAATTTAAACCAGTATTTGGGGTTACCTGAGGTTTAAATTGGTACTGACCTTAACCTAGTGGTTGCCATTTCAAAAACTGAGGCCCATTACAATATGCTTTTGACAACATGGAAAAACGTTAATCTTGATAGATTACATTAATCTTTATAGAGAGCCCTTTTTGCTTCACTTAGACTTCAGGATCTTAACTCCTCACCATAAGGATGCTTTAGCTTTTTATATCAAGAACACTGCACATTTATTTTAATTGGCTAACTGAGCTTTTCTGCTTACTGAGCCGTCTGCCTGACATTTGCAAAATGCTGCTTTTTTTCCCCAACATAACCTAACGGTTCATTTTTATAAGGCCTGTCATCCAAAATGCAGAACCTAATCTTTAATTAGTTGTCATATTTGTTCAGACGTTATACATCATCCATTGGACCAAACTGTTTGGTTTACTCTCCTCTCATGCTGTCCATTAAGTGATTACTTTTGCACTCACTTATGTTTCATTTAACAGGTTCCCTACGCACTGAGCTCCATCCTTGCAGGCCCTTTGCTGAGCCATGGACTTGCTAAACTGCCTCTGCACTTGGGCTGCCCACACTGTGCAAGCTCAAAGCCAACTAGAAGCACCAAGACCAACGAGAACTACCTGACCCAATACAGCTAATGATAGTTTTCTAATACGGGCATTAAAATATTTAGAAGTCCTGCATAAAGTCCAGCCAAGGGAATATTTTAGAGGCAATTCCCGTGTGTATTCGTGTGTGCCTTCAGCATGGCTTTGGTGGGTACAGTGCTTACGTCTACCTCCCCGCCACCCCGCTTCTCACTCTTAGTTCTTTTTAATATATTCAATAGAAATTCACCTGAAAAGGCACTCACTTTCCCAGGTTCTTTCATAGGTATATGAAGGTTGCTTGTTGCAAGTGGCAAAGCCACGTGTTTCATTAGTGTCCCGTGAGGGCTGTGGCTGTCTACCACGTCTTAACTGCTAAGCACAAGGCTCCTGGAGTCAGCATCCCAGCACCAGACCCATCCTCTGCTGGCGTGGATGCAGGGACCGTATCACGCAGCGTAGCCTCAAACCCACAACTGGCACGGTGTGAAAACTTGCCTTTTTGGGAAAGAAACGCTCGGTGCAGGCCCCACGCTGAACCTTGCGGCTGGACCTGAGCCCAGGGAGGAGAAGCAGCCGCCAGGGCTGACTGTCGAGGTGACGGTTCCGAATGGGCCGGGCTATATCCCCAAGTGATGAGTTATCGTGCCAAGTTCTTGCCCCAGGTGCCAAGGGCATCACCCTGGTTCTGGGCCCCGGGGGAGCCCGGGCTGGGCCGGCACCGCGTGCGCTCGCGCACCAACACAGCGAGAAGCAAAAGCAAAACGACTTCCAACACCAAAGGGTTTTTACCTTTTCAGACTAAGCTTTTATTTTGATATTACAAACCATTTTTCTTTATTCACAAACCACGGTCGTGATATAAACACTAATTTCTAAAGACAGATATACACATTTTCTGGGTTTGTATTTTTTTTTTTTAATCTGTTTAGAAGTCACTATATTTCATATATGGTAGTAATAATTTTTTTCATAAGTCATATTATCAGTAGTTATTTATATAAGTGAAAACATTCCCAATATATATTGTAAAAAAATTTCAAATGCTTTTCTTACATAACTATTTAAGACATACATTTTAAAATGACTGCTAGGAATACTGTAGGAGCTTTATAAACAAAATATTTTCTACTATGGGCCGCACTCTCAAGCTTTCAAGATTATTTGTAATAGATTAAAATGCCATATAATCGTTTGGGGAGTGGGAGTTGTAAAGCCATCTCATGAAAATTAAAATTGCAAATAAATTCTGCTATTCCCCACATCAGACATTTTGTGTGTGTACTTTCCAAAAAAAGATGTATTGTCCACACTTTGAATTGGAAGCCTAACATTTGGTAAACATTTCTCAAGGTGCTTTATCTTGGTGTTTAAATGAAATATACTTTACTTTTTTTTTTTTCCTCTATTTTTGTTTAAATAGGAGGCTTGTCTCGTATATCTTAGATAATAAACGTGGGGATTGAACTCTTAATAAATTCCAGTTCATTCCCTCACCAGTATAAATATATGTTACTGCCCCATTTTTCATTGATTAATACAGTCTCTTTCCCTCTCCGCTTCAATTTCCAAGATAATTTATTTGTCATTCTCAGATATAAACGCTACAGAAACTTTGTTTTCAAATCTTGTGAAACTTTATTGATGGTTATTGTTCAACTGATCATACTGCATGCACATACGATGACAAAGAGAAAGCCTGATCACAAACACTTCTTTCTTAAAGCAGAGTTGTTATAGCAAGTTGGCAGGTTCACAGCGGTGAGTTGATCATTTACTAAGGTGCACGCCGGGCGGCCCGCACGGTACACATGAGGATATAACTATCTGCAGCAAAACTGTAGCGAGACAGTTCCCCGCTTTATTTATTTAAATACAAAAACAAGGAGACCCGTGACAAACACCCCAACTTAGGTTAACTTGTAAACAGGACAACATGGAAAGAGTCCAAACATATGCACAGACAAACTGCAATTTTCCAGAGCCAGGGTGCCGCTGGGCGGCCCGTGCCACCCCCGCGTCCCCGCGTGTCCCCACGCGCATCCCGCCTCCAAGGGCGCCTCCGGGCTCGGAGCCCAAGGGCCTCGGCTTCGGAGACCAAATGGGGACAAGTCGTCGCGCCTTGAAAAATTGCAGCTTGCTTACACGACACAGTCATGTTTCAAAAAGTACCAAGCGGATGGAAATACCATGATTATCTCTACTCCATGATTGCAATACTTGTAAAATGCTTATATAAATCTGAATATGATTATC